ATTTTATCCGATAACGACCCTCTTCATTTAGTCGCTACCATGCGAACGGATAACTCACACTTAATCGCCTCTTCAACAGCGTGCCTCCAAGAATCCCGACAAAGCCACCCTTCCATCGGCCACCACGAACCCCTATCGCGTTAGCGTGCTAATGTCCTCCATGACGACCCGCCCTTCCGCGGCGCTGCCCGCTGACCAGCGGGCACCATGACGCCACTTCCCGTCTCTCAGCGGGCGCCTGCAGAGCGCTGCAGAGCTGGTGACATGCACAGCCGTCTGTTGAATGACTCACGAGCGCCCCATCCTCTGCTCTCGCTCGGGTTTTTGGACGATCACGAACCTCGTTCGCCATGCCAGCAGTGGGGCGGGATGGTGTGGACACCGGACCCGCGGGTGGCGCTGTCGCCTCGACCGGTGCCGTTCCTGATTTCGGGTAGCGTAAACATCCCACCCGGCCCTGGCACCGAGCAGGCACCTCCGCCGCCCTCCCCGCGTCGCCGGCGCCGGGACCGTCGCCGCCTCCATCGGTCGCTGTTTGCTCCGATCGCCGGCGGTGTATACAGTCGGCCGGTCCGCCCCGCCGGGCACACTGCCGCCCTCGTTGCTGCACGCTGAGCCACGTTTGCTGACCGTCCGGCACGGTCCGCCGCCGAGAGGCCAATCCGGCCAGCCCGCGGCGCCTCTATTGACCTCGTCCCGAGAGCGCCTCGGGCGCGGCGACAGCGGCAAGACGACGCGCAGAGCCAATCCTTTCTGGTCTACGGCAGTCCAATTAAAATCAGCGTCGCTGCCGCCTGTCGGGAGAAATAACGATTTTTGAAGACAAACAACAGCCGCAGCCGAGCCAGCGCTGCGCCGGCCGCCGCTGCAACCGACGGCAAAAACGACTCACTCGCGCCGATCTCGGCGCAGACGGGAAACCGCGGAGCGCGTGCTGAGCGCAAGCAGGCGCACCGAGGACAGGCTTTCACCCGCTCTGCTGCGAATATAATCGGCTAGGACACTGGTCACTGTTCGCTGTGGCTTCTAATTACTCCAGTTGAAGCCGCCTGGAATGCTTTGGGGACGTCGCGAATGTGTTCAGTTGGAAGTGCTTTTTATCGCATTGATAGAAAGAACATGACCAATAATGTTCAGGTTTTCTGTGCTGCATGGAATCGTTGCTGTGACAAATTTAGGTGATTAACTTTAATGATTGAATGGTGTGAAACGTTTTTTGAGCATGATTATGATTATAATGGAAATCAGATGGAATAGTAACCTTTTGCTCATAACTAATGTAAGCCAAAAACAAATCCAAAATATATTTTCGGTGCTGGACCTTCTTCAGTGGAATGGTTCCACTGAAGAAGGTCCAGCACCGAAAATATATTTTGGATTTGTTTTTGGCTTACATTAGTTATGAGCAAAAGGTTACTATTCCATCTGATTTCCATGATTAACATTAACAAAATAAGTAACTACGTTGGTTTTATCGGCGCCATTAATAAAACAACGTAGGTACAATCCGAGAAAACAGAAAAGCCCTTGAGGTACGGACACTCGGTGCTATTTTTACGGAAACTCAGCAGTCATTGTTCTCAGTATAAGGACGAAGACCATCCCTCACAACCGACTCGTCTATTGACCCAGCCTGAGTCTCCAGATAATTGGATCCTCCCAGAGGTAATTTCTTTTGTGAGCCTCGACAACCCGTACGCGCCCAGTGATGTATGGTCATTGCTGGGTCGGGTTAGCTGACTGCGGATACACCCTCTGCGCCTCGGCCGATTCTAATTGCCACCGAGCCGCTGGAATTAAGCTAATTACCCGGCTCGGCTGCGGTCCGGGCGTGGATGTCCGGCACTCACTCTCTGTCTTCAGATAGGACAGGCTGGCAATGGACGGGCCGCTGGGGCTGATTACCACAGATCACCGATTCTGCAGCGAGCGCCACAGCGCCTTGTTCGGAGGGACTGGGTGGCGGAACGGCTTGCCACTAGAGATGGACCCTGTATGATAGGCAGTGATAGGTCAGGTTGCGGTGGTGACTGGTGTTGTGACTTGATGCTTTGAAACCTACATTTCGGAGTAAGCGACTGCATGTTGTGCGTCGAGACGCCAGTCCAAGTGACTTGGGCAGAAGACATTGTTGTCAGAACTCAAAATAACATGAAATGTCATCCTTCAGCTTGCGGGCCTCCTAAGCGACCGAAGCAGCGCTGTTTGTAACCCGTGAGAACACATCCGGACTGCCGGTGGTGGGGTTACGTTTGCGGCCATAAGTGACTGCGCGATAATTGCGCATGGCCCGTGGTGTTATATTTGGCGTCGAGCGCGCTGCCGTCTCATTAGTAGCGCACGTGTGCGTCGCGGCGGCCCCCACCGGATGCCACGCGTGGTCCGACAGCCATCTGCACCCGCTGCCGGCGCCGCGGGCGGCCGGCGCTCCCCTTTCACCCTTCCTGCGCGCTCGGCCCCTCGCCGGTCCCAGTCAGAGACCGTGTCGCGCGTGTGAAGGACAGGGACCAGGTCAAAAGGTCACGGCCCCGCGCCATAGTGAGCCGATGGGAGTCCGGCGTCCCAGCCTTCCACCCTCCTGGCTGGTGCCCATGGAAGTCAGGACTCAGGCTCGGGTCAACAAAGAACAAACTAGCGGGTCAGAGGTGAGATGGGGACTGCCGCCTTTCTTGGTGACCTGCTCGTCCTGCGAGTGGTCTCCCTCCGTTCTCCATTTCAGCCAGAGATAACACGACGCAGGAAGGGTGGACACACAAATACGGGGTGAAGAGGTCGAAGACTGAGCCTCGGCGTGGCGACCAGCCGTCTGGTGTCAGGCAGTGAGGCTGTTCGGGGCGTCCCTTGACGAGGATCTGAATTACATGTCCTCCCCAGCCCCGCCGGCTGCCGCACATCAGACTGTCAGCAATGTTTATCCGAGTCGCTGGACGGGCACTGAAAAACAGGCCGATCTATTGTCAGACTTCGTCGCCGATGCATTCATGCCTTCCGCCGCTGTCAGAAACGTGTCTGTCAACGGTGGGGTGAAAGCGATCCCCCGAGCGGCCCGAATCCGGGATGAATCGCTTTGTCACGGGCGCAAACACCCAGTCATTGGCCCGGAGTCGTCAGTAGACGCCCAAACAACGTCACAGGACGGCCACCAGACACGATATCTTCCTGAAATCATCGGCCGTTTGGTCGATTGGAGCCGTGACTCTCCCTCGCAGTTGTATCCGCGGCCCTGTTCCTAACGGTACCGGTATTGTGTTATTGCTGTGTCGCATACAAGAAGTTGCCAGACCAGATGCGATGCAATCCTATGATGCCTTGGCATAAATGGGATTTTGAAGAGACGCGAATAGCACTGCCGATGTGATGGGCACACAGCGGAATCACAACGTGCAGTGTGCGTAGGAGACGTATCTCACACATTTTATTTGTTTTTTTTTTTTGCTTTTCGGATTTGCCAGGCTTAATGCCGTATTTCGAAATCATATCAGTGGGATGTCTTTAAGCAAGACGTAAAATGAGTTTTAGGCCTCTAAGCCGGAAACCTTCGTGGTGTCTAATGACCTCGCATAGCCTCTCAGCAATCGAAGGACTTTTGGTAATAATGGGTAAACATCACCTCATCGTCACTTCACCCTGTCTTGGGGCGCCAGTGCGCGACCAGAGCAGATTCCTGCTGCGCCGAGGAAGCTGGCGGAAACGATCACTTCATTAAGCACATCATCGCGCCTCATTCCTTCGCCGTTGGCGCGCAGAGTGTTGTGCGCCTGGCGCGGGGGCGTGCCGGTTGTAGAGCGCACGGCGGCCGTGCTGGGAGGCGCATGTGTGGGGAGGCGCGGGTACCGCTGAGACGTGCTGGGGACACGCGGCGCCCCGGATGTCCACTTCCGGAGCACCACGGCGCCGCATTTGTGCCACCCGTGCTGTGTTTACCGACCGAGCGCGAGTAAACCGGTGAACTGGCTCGGCTATTTCTGGGGCGCCGATCGCTGATGGGCTCCCGCCGAGCTGGTGACTTCAAACTGAATGGGGGTGGCATTAGTTATCTTGCCGCATGGTTACAAGGCGTCACGATGCTGAATCCTTGTGTTGCAAAATGTATTTGGCCTTGGCTGTAAATAGCGGCCTGGGGACACAGCACGAGGCTGCAGGCCGGTCGGCTGACACTTTTCCACATTCCTGCACGTACCACGAACACAATTCGTCCGAGGCCATCGACTGAGTCACGATTTGAGCTTCGATGAATGGACGAACAGCGGGCGGCTGGATTGCGAGACCCGGCGAGATGTTGCATGATAGAAGTGCATGAAAGCTCTCGTGGGCGCCAGTGACCGCGGAAGGCGCGAGTTACATGCATCGGCTGAGGTGCTTAGTTTCAATCCGCCTGTCTGATTGTGATTTGTGAGGTGGTGATCATTAAGCTTAGCCTGTGCCGTTGTGATAAGGGTTTGATGGAAGGCCGGACATTGCGGCTGGTGCGGCGGCTGATGAAGACAAACGTCTGTGTTATGTCTCTCGTCTTGTCAGTGCTTGCAGCCGAGTGTCGTCCTTACATTGGTTGTCCATAGCCCATCCTATATCTCTTGTTATGCCTTTGCCTTTTTTTCTTCCGGGTGGTTGGCTCTCATTTTGTGAAGACTCTGGCTCTCATTTTCTTTTCTCCACCATCTTCTACACCTTATTAGAATTTGTACGCCTTCTGTCTTCAGCACTATTGACGATAATTGCATTTCGCTTTGTTCATTTCGTTCCTTTAGCTCTAACTGTCTTTTTTTTTCTAGTCCAGACTCTGTTCGTGACTGGCTGTATCACATCAAAATGATGTGACTGATCTATCACATCAAAATATCCCTGTCTCTGTGCGGAGACCCTTATTTTTTTGTCGCCTGACTTATAGTCAATGAACATTGTTAATTACTCATATTAGCCGCAACTTGTGTAGCTGGCGCTTCGCTTTCTAATTGGTCAATGCTTGTAGTAACCCTCTCTCTCTCTCCTCTTCCCCACAGCTGGTCGCTGGGTGGACATGTGAAGCGGATGATGGCCCGCCTGCTGCACAGTCCACTGCTGGTCGTCGTCTTCTGTGCAGTGACGTCACGTCAGTTCGACATCAGTGAGTACAGCCGCGCCCCGCTGCAAATATAGCCGCGAACGTCGATGGCGGTCCACGTTCGCCGATTATATCGTTTATAGTTCACTTTCTCCAATCACTCGTCAATGTTTGCAGTGCCAGGCTCGGCAACAAAATTAAACCAGCTCGTGTTTTCACCCTGTGACCAATTAGGAGAAATTGCACGCCATTGCAGCAAAGCATAACGACGTGCCCTATTTGTCGGTGCTCGCCTTTGCAGTGGGCCCCAGAACGTGGCGGCCCTCCATGGCCGGTGCATGACTAACCCATCACCGGAACGACAGGCCATCAGGTGCACGGCCGTGGCGCTAACCACTGGCCAGTCGCAGCTGATTTATCGGCGCCCCGTCTGAAATCACCGTGTCTAATTAGGACGGCGTGCGTGGCGGTCCGCTGCCAAAACAGCCGTCTGGGCCGCGAATCAACATGGCGGGCGTTGCGCTGTGACGTGGCCGGCCGGATGACCAATCAGTGCCGGCGTCGATAGCGCGTCGCGCGGTAAATAAACGCGCTCCCGTCTTTATCGTCGCCGCCGGCGAGCCGCGCCCGTGTGTATTTGTGCTGCAGCCGGGCCGCGACCGGGTCTGTTTGTTGAGCCCGCTGCGCGCCCGCGGCTGTTTACCTGAGGTGAATTCGCCAAAACGCCGGCTGCTAAGTCAGGACCGACTTTGACACCAACCGTACTCAGTACTATGTAGTGCCAACATTGCGACAGGTGGACTATACTCGTGATTCGACCTAAAAACAGCATTGACGCACAGTTGATAGCGAACGCAATGACACCAGGTCCGTAATTCTGACAGGTAGAGTCAACAGAAGGCGGCAGATTTATGGTCGTGTTATGAGGCACTGCGACACATGTCCAGTCGTTTTGACGTCGGGGACTAGCGGTCTCCATTCTGCGTGATATACAACGGTGAACGGACAGCCGGTATGTCCGGGGTCGCTCAGCACTATCTGGTACGACAGCTGTGCCGATATGATTCGCTCTTTGGTCAGAACAGAAAGCGACGTGTTTGGCTTTCATAAAACGGATTACTTGATGTCAAAATGTTGTATTTCGTCCTCCGATGAAACTATCGCACTTCAGCGTCATCTATATGGGGGCGGGCACCTTGAGTGAAAATGCTTGAAGCTTTCCGCTTTGGTATGCACGACTGTGTTCCACAATGCTGCATCTCGTATCTGACTTGAACACACCTTTTGATTCATTTTGCATCCATCATTTTAGCATTCATTCGGTGTCAGCTAGGCGAGTTCCCTGTTTTTACACCGCCCATAATCCGACTGGACCGTATGATGAATTCCCTCTGTCATCTTCCCCAGTGTCCAGCCATCCATCTCCGTCCTCTGTGATCTGCTCGCGGAGTCCGGCAGGCCACGGTCTGCCTGTCCCGTCCGGCGCCCACCGCTGCCGCGCCGCCCTGTCGATGTCTCGTTCCCAATTCCGCGCGCGTGCCTTCCGCTCTCCCTGCCCCGGCGACTCGCCCTCCCCTCTCCGGTGCTCGCCCCCCCCCCTCTCCGGGTGCCAGTGCTCCTTGCGGAGCGGTCTCAATGTCGGGCGACTATCCCTCCAAGGGAGGGGAGGATAGGGTCCTGTCAATTGCAGCAGACAGTCTCAACCAGACATACAGACAGCTCGTAATGTCAGCTGTCTTCTCCACTGTCCGCCCACTGATAGCTGTCCTCCCCAACCAATGCTAATTTCGCTAGATGGGCCAGCCCGTCCGGCTACTAATCTCGGGACGTGTCTTGATAGATCAGTAGTGTCAATGACGTCACTGAACAGTCACCGACAGCTGTATCGAGCTGAACTGTGCCTTGGTGAGCATCACCTATAGTTGCTACGGGGTATCACAGAATCAGCTGCTTTTGCAAATTGCCCAGTACACTTTGGCGCTGAAATGATTTGTCTTTAGGCTCGATCCGAACAAATTCCTTTTTATCCTATCTTAAGCACACGCGGCTGCGTGCGTTATTTTGTGGGACAGTTTGCCATCCCACGCTAACCCAAGCAGACGCCCGTTCGGCGGGCTGGCTTCCTCCATGTGGTTTAGACTGCAGGAAGCGTGCCATTTAAAAATGAGTCACGCAGTTGCTGTCGACAGACGTGACTGCTCCCGACGGACGGGCACATTCGGCGGCGACGGGCCCAGCGGACGGGCGATCGTCGATGGCGATATGGGCGATGGCGATGGGCGATGGCGATAGACGATGGCAGGCTGACGGACAGGCTCCGATGGTCCGAGCCCTGCGTCGCTGCTGGGTATGCTCGGAGGTCGTTTTTGTGTCTCCGGCGCGACCGTCTGTCGGGGAGGCGTCGTGGGAAACTCGGACTGCTGATCATGGGGTGCGGTGCGTAATGCCAGGCAAATAAAGCGTGTCGTCGTATGGTAAGACCGCTTCCGTGCCCGGCTTTGGTCGCATTTCGCTTCCGCAGTGGGTAATTTGGCAGTTTGGGTGAATTTCTCACACAACTATGGCGTGTTAGTTACTCTAAAAATGGGGAACGGAAGATAATTAGCAGTGTACTTGATGAGAAAATGATAGGGGTTTGACAGTCAGCAAAATTTTGTGACGTATGTTTGCGGAATTTCACCTGGTTTCACTGAAAGGTTACCATTTGACCTTATTTGGTGTTCAGTTGTAAGCAAACCCTTTGGCTTCTGTAAATTAAATCAGGTGCTGAAAAAAGCACTGCTTGTTCCTAATTTGAAAATAATTGTGCTTCGCCATTTGTGATATAAAGCGAAACATGTTGCTGACAATTGAATCATTGTTTTATATGTCAATCAAATTAAACTTACAAAATAGCCAGCGTCAATTAGAGACAATGTTATGAAAACGGCGATGTGTGTTTGATGCATTATCTTAAACGGTTGGCGAGTCGTGGACCGGTTTGGGACCGGATTGTTAATGCCAGTGCATTGTCTGCTTCTTGCATTCTGTGCCCTGATAGTATCGACGACGAACTAAATGCCTACCGCTTTGTATGTGCGTAGCCTAAGACTGCTGAAAAAAGTAGTTCCTGTATGTGACCGTTGCTGCATACTGCATACCTCGCATACTTCCTTGACAACATAAGATTTAGGCAGCACTGTGTCAGTCTTATAATATTGTGATTGGTTTCGCGAGAAATATCTGAATACTGTCACAGCGCGGGACAATATCCGTAAATACCGTCTCAATTGTCTCTCGTTACCACTATGGCGTGTCCACAACAGCGTCCGTCCTCCGCCCCCTGGGGCCTGTCCCAGTATCGCGGCCGGACCGCGGCGGGGGTGGGGGCGGGGGTGGGGCGGTCCATCGATCTGGAGGTGGTGTCGCACCGACAGGCCGATGATGTAGAGGATATTGGCGCCGCCCGCGTGACACGCTGTCGCGTCTGCCGCACGGATAGGTGCAGAGTCCCTGGACGTGTGCCAGCCGCCACCGACGGACTCGGAACGGCGATGGGATGCCTCTGCTCGGACGCTTCCGGTTTACTTGTTTTGTGTATTATCAATACCGTAAATATCGGTCCGGTGCGCGAGCATGACCATTGTGTCAGCCTAGACCATGGCTATGCCCTGTGTATATGCGACATTATAGTTTATTCACAATCACAAGATCAGTTACTCTTGCCTGAAATGGACTTTCTTCATCGCCAGTCTTGGTATAGGTCACATGTAAGGGAAGGCCTAATTATGGCAGCCAAGACAAGGCAAGGTCAAGGGCAGCCATGGTAAAGCCGTTATTTTTCTTCACTCCTCCTGATGTCCAATGTGATGTTTGCATTGCTTTAACCCTCGCCCCGTTGGGGGGGGGGCATTTTGGCCCCCCTGTGGTTTTTCCTGAATAGCAAGAAAACGGCGGCGCGCAGCGCCGCCAAATTTTCAGTACCTTTCCGGGCATCAATTTGACACCTTCACACCAAATTTCAAGTCTTAGGTCACCTTAGGTCAGGAGTTATTGAGGTCAAACTGAGGTCATGTTCGAGCAAAAATGAGCAAAAAACATGCAATCTTGAAACGCTCACCAAAACTACAGTTATCAAGCAATTTCAAAGTTATTTATATGGTCTAATAGACAAAAAGCGGCGCTACAAAACTGCTATCTCGGATTTTCAAAATTTTGGGTTTTTGACCCAAAAAATTTCAAAAAATTGATTTTTTTTAGAAAAACTAAAAAAAAAATCCAAAATTTTTCCGAATTTCGAAAAAAACGGAATATATGTGATAGTCCCTGCGCTCTTCTATATACATACCAAATTTCAGATCGATATCTCGTTTTTTGGCCAAGTTATAGCGAAAAAACTGTTCAAAAATGATGACGTCAAAATTTTGAACTCAATTTTTAGCGATTCTAGACCTCGTAAGGCAAAACAAAGACCACCATTGAACTCCCCGTGACGAGCTGCATCGATTCGATACCCATTTTATGCAAAAATATCAACTTTAAAATTTGACCTTATTTGACCTGACCTTGACCTGACCTTGACCTGACCTTGACCTGACCTTGACCAAAACGTGACCTAAGCTGGCCCCAAAGGCTGCCTGACCCACATAATCGCATTTGTCATGTAAAATGGACCATAAAACATGTATCACACGACACTTTCATATTGTGACCCCCCAGTGACCTGACCTCAGTGACCTGACCTGGTATCAGTGACCTCAACTAGCAAAATATGTGTTTGAAGAACATTTCCCCATCGATGATTTTCAATGAAATGCATTTTACTCGATTTTACAACGCATTTCTTGAAATGCCTGTAACAAGGGCGGCGCCACCGTGGGGGCAGTGGGGGCAGACTGCCCCCACTGACAGGAGGCCGTGGGGGCAAGACTATGGTTTTGCCCCCACAAAACTTGGCTGAAGTTGGAAAGGGAACAAGACCTGTGCAATATTCCCGATAGGATAGGATATGATAATATAAACAAGGCTACAAAACTCCAATGCAAAGCGGTGGTGATGTGATGATGGCAAAGAAATTCCTTTATTTCCATAACTTTTCCTTCATCTGGACAATTTTGGATGTCAACGGCTAGGGGCAAGGTGCTCCTGAATTCTGCAGATCGGGGTGTCATACAACAGTAGAGTCACCTCAAGCTTGCCCCCACTGGCGAAAATTCGTGGCGCCGCCACTGGCCTGTAAACGGTGAAAATTGGACCTTTGACCTGACCTGTGACGTCATCGGTTTGACCTAGGTCAATAAAATTGGGTCACAAGGTAGTTCTCTGATAGGGCTATCCAACACCGTTTGCCGCTTGTCGCTACGTTGCGTGGTTCTCGAGATCTTGGGGGGGGGGGCCAAAATGCCCCCCCCCCCCAACGGGGCGCGTTGCTCGGCAGAGCCCAACGGGGCGCGGGTTAACGAATGTCCCCTTTCTTCCCATGCCGTATCCAAGTGGAACCACAAGTTTACCGCAGGTTGTATCTAGACACTACCGTTGCCCCATGGTGATGTCACAACTGTCAATGACGTCACCGCGTCGCTGTCGACGCGCTGTCGGTGACGACGCGGCCGCTCCACATCAATGTTTTACACGGCCAACAGATGGCAGCAGCTGTGGTCCCGTAACGAGCACTGATCGGCTCTCATGATACGCTCGCCGCTTCGGTAGGAAATGGATCATTACTGACGAGCTGGTCCGTGCCGCTGGCCAGGGGCGGGTCGGGGACACTCGACTGTCCCCAGCGATAGCTCGCCGCGCGGCCGAACGGACGCTATTGAGCCGGATTGTACGGTATGAACAGGTGTGAGCGGCGCTGCTCCTGTATTACACCTCATCCGTCATTGCGAGTGGTGTAATCTGGGAGCCCAGGGGGTAATTACCCGAGGATCGGACGGCCGACGGCCTCACTTAGGCCCCGGTTAGGTCTGTGGCGCTGACACGGCGTTTGGAGGCCGGCGTTCGCTGTTGGCTGTTTGCTGAATTTATGGTCGCGAGGTGGCGAGTGCCACGCCGCGCGAGTGAATCACACTATTCACTCACTTCTCAGGCCGCGGGCATAAAACGGCGCCAATCTGGCGTAAAGTGGATAATTGTATAACGACCCTGTTTGCATTGTCTCTGAGGGCGTCACGCTGTGCAAGCCAGCACGATAAAAAGGATGACTATATGAATCCAGCGATTATCTCGAGTTGAGGGCTGTGAGATCGCGTGCCTTTATAGCGGGAAACCACTCAATCACGCGGTCAGAGAGTCAATCAGGCGAGGAATTATGGTATGCCGACTAGTGCCGCTAATGTTCGTGCTAGATTGAGTGGACATGAATATTGTAGCTTTTTTTGTTTTGCTGCGAATAGGAGTACAGGGTTCCGTTCTACTAGTATAACGATATAAGTCTAGCTACCTATGGGAACAACTGCCTAATATTGCCATTATTTCCCTGTATATTCTGTGTCGTGTGTGCTTGAGCTGCATCAAAATGACACTCTCTGTTTTGCCCTCAGGGGAGTGTGATGCGGCGCTGGGAATGCAATCCGGCGAAATTCCGGACTCGGCCATCACCGTGACGTCATCACACGACCCGGCCCGCGTCGGCGCCAAGCAAGCCCGGTAAGTAGTCCAGCTGTTTGACGTCATAATGACGTCATAACTGACCGACATACCATGAATCGTGACCCCCTGATGCACACCACGACCCGTCGAAGATATTCAGCAATTCTACATTTTCTATTCTGCATATTAGTCAGTCATAACCACACGTCTTGCTATATAAATTCAGATACTCAAAATAAAATGCATGTTAACTAGACGGAAACGTCGCTAACGTCCCGTCACTTTGGATGTCCATGCTAGGTACTGCGCTGTTTCAGTGGAACTATAATTGAATATATAATTGCATAAATTAGATTAAATACTGCATATTCCAATGAATATTACATGCTGTGATGACTGGGCCTGACATTGCTTCAGCAGACATGACAGCCTCCCCGTTTTGGCGCGCTGTTCCTAGCGATGATCTTGATAGCTGCCAACAATATGAATATGCTAAGCTTGTTTATTGCATATTTCCTGAAACGGAAACGGAATAAGATTGTGAGACGCGGCTTCCATTCATTTCTACTTAGAAGCCTTTGCTTTTCATTCCCATATGCCGCATTTTCTTTCAGTGTTTTCGTTTTGCTTGATTCTCACTCCGAATCCTAAATGAGAGTTCTTTTTTTCTAAGTGACCCTTCAGAGTTCAGAGTCGATCTCTGGCTGGTGGCCGGGTGCATGGATACGGTGTCATGACTCAGCACGTCATTTTAGTGAGCCGCTGCACAGGGTGTGGCAGCATGGGCTCAACTTTGCCGAAAAATGCTTTGCGCAACAGGACGACTCAGGTTCTGACACAGCAGAAGCTACCTCGCGCAGTGCATCACTGTGCCATTCGGCCGAGGTAGCGCCAGCTTTGTTATGGCTCTTTGCCCTCTTTACACGGGACATACAGAATAAAAGAGATGAGAACGCTGTACCTCACACCACGTGACTTACCTAACTGATGCCCACTTGCCAAAGCAATATCAGTTAATCGTTGCAATGAACATCCATATCAAAGCATCCCTGCGTATAAACTCTGAGGAAATAGGTGACAAAAAATTGTTGTACTCCCGCAGTCAAAATCACACGACCGACTCACAAAAATGCGGAACTGTGTTATGATTGTGGCGAGCAGAGAGGGCAACGAAGCGGCGGACGAGTTCATGCGAGTCATCATTTCCGTGGGGAGCGCGGAGTTTCTTCCCGTGGGACCGTCAGCTGTGGGATGACACTAGAGGAACCGCTGACGTGCCTGACCCATTCCGTCATCGATCCGGCTCTGCAAACGCCGTCTGCGGCGTTTCGCCAATTGGAGAACAGATTTGCAGATGTTTCAGCAAAGTAGCCTGAGTTTTGTACCGTCGGCTGCATCGGTGCAGTCACCACCTGTGGCCGGTTCACTAATGGGATAAGTTTTGTTTGTGAAACCACGGTAATAATGCGAAATTTGAAGAAGGCTCTTGCTCATGTGATCCAAGTTGCGTTATTGGTTAAATTTACGGTGCTAGAATAGCGTTTAGGTTTACTTGATTTATATTTTTAGGGGAATGAAGTCATTCACATATTATAAATGACAGTAAAGGTTCGCGTCCAACATCCTTTACACAAGGCCATAGCAACAGCGCCACCCAGCAGCACGGACACGAGCCAGACGGGTATACGGTTTGCACCAATTGGCTGTCTTCCGTGACCACCACTGCGCTGACAGGGAGCTGAGCTCAGCGCATTCGTCTTCTATGGATACAGCCCACGGCCGGCGGGCTGGCAGACCGATGAGTCAGTGTTTATCGCTGGAACACGGCCATGGACTGGCTGTCACTCACACCACCTCAGTGCGATTGGTTCCGCGACCTGTCACAGATCCAAACCCTATATGGAGCTGACGATGATGGAATGACATCACGAAATATTGTGTCACATGGTACACAAATGAACCGTCGAATATATGTTTAATTTCAAATTTGTACAATTGACACTTCTAAACATTGCTATAACAATAACTGATTATTATATTTTCATTTCGCGGTGTCATGATTAATATGATCACGTACAATGATTGGTAGGCCTGCCGTCATCGACATTTCCGTATTGTGTTCCAGCATTATTTGCACTAGGTGCTCGGTGTCCTAAGCAGGCCGCTCGAATTTCATCTCGCCATAAGTCCCCGCTAGGGCCGGTCTGAGGCGAGTCTTCTTTCCGGCCGTTCCGGTAAGGGCGACTGAGGAGCGTTATCGACCCTGGCGTCGTCTGTCGATCCACCCACGGCCGAAACCGGACTGCCTGGCGCCTAGCGTGCTCACTCAGCAGACGCGTAAAAATGGACGGCGATTCGTCACAAAAAATCGCGGCTTTTGATAGTTTTTCTTCGCCACCGCTCGCGCGGATTCCCTGACAGTGAAAGCGGGCGATTTGAACGCAGCATGACGTGAGTGCTGCTGATACAATCAGAGTTTTCTTTTGGTTTAGAGCCCAGCTGCACCATCCTTGGCGAGGTCTCCGCGAGCGATCGAGGCAGTGTTTTTGTGCCCTGCAACACCCTCGATTTAACCACCAAAAACGATCATTTGGGCACCTGGATGGGTGGATAGCCTGCGCGTTGATGCAGTTTCTTTTCGGGCATGGCCTTCAGCTGAGCGGCCTCCTGAGGTCAGTCGACCTTTTGGGATTTCATACACGATAGACCGGTTCTGGCTGGTGATATAAAAGCTGCGATTTCAGCTGGCGATCCAGACGCCATGGAGGCTCGAAGCGAACCCCAGCTTTGTTGAGCGACTGGCTGAGAGGAAATGAAGTTTCGCGCTCTTTTGTGACGCACCCTCCCTCTTCCACTCGGTTATTGGATCGGACAAAGGAAAACAGCGAGGAAATTGCCATAAATGGATAATAGCGAGCGCCACGAAAGCCACCCGATCTTCGACAGTCTGTTATGAAAGTCGATACTTGCAACAAGAGTGAAGCGATATTTCATTGGATAGCTCATGCGCCTTGCAGGGCGGAAAAGTCTGCTATGATTAATTAAACTGTATTTTAGTAGAAGGTGACAAGCTGCCAGGAAGCCTTCGTCGCTTTCAAACAGTCATCTGCTGAATAATGACTGCTCTGCAAATGAAATGCCACTCAAGTTCCGTTTTATGATGCCATTAGGAACCTAAATGTGTCGTATGCCCAGCGGTCAACGCATCATTATGCCTGGATGTGATGCCAAGGAAAACACACATTGCCTAGTGCTGCAACTGGCTCTTACTCGTATGCGGGTATTCTCCATGCTGAGCTCATCGAGCCAAAATATCGTATACCGACCAATGACCATAACCAATGCCTGATCATGTCCTGAGCAAGCTTTATACCTGGACCGGGGCTTTTCAAAGTGTCCCGCTGTTCTGGCCTCGGGTTTTGCATAATTGACTTAACCCTAAACTGAGCCTAACTCTGACCCGACCTGACCCCGTTCTCAGACTGAATGTGGAGCTGGACGGCGGCGCGTGGTGTCCGGAGCGGCACATCACCAAGGGCACCCGCGAGTACCTGGAGGTGAACCTCGCCTGGCCGCGGGTCATCAGCGCTGTCAGCCTGCAGGGTCGCTTCGGCAACGGCCAGGGCAGGGAGTTTGCCGACCAGTTCACGCTCGAGTACTGGCGGCCCGGCCTGACCGCTTGGAAGCCGTACAAGGCCTGGAATGGTTCACAGGTCAGTCAGTTAGGGCTGTGGGTGGGACATGCATGGGATGTGGACTCGACTGGCAAATAAATCTCGTCTTTTAGGATTCCTTAGAGATTGGGAAACCTTTGTCAATATGAAGTATGTGTTCGTTCTTGATGATGAAAAAAGCAATTGAGTGCAGGATAACTAGAATGGAAAGTGATGACGTCAAAGATCACCTGGCACGCAAGCTATACGCTATTGACATGATTCGAACTACGAATGAAATGACTGCCCGCTGGTAGTCCAAAGTAGCGGATTGACACAGTCTTTTAATCACACAAGCTCTGCGACCTTCACTGCCTAATTGCTGCTCTCATTTTCCGATGTCGAGGCATACATGCGATAATGTGACATGACATATCTTTAGCAGTGATCAATGTTCCTTCGTTTCACGGTGAACCTGTTATCTGCCGCTCATTAAACGGATCATTAGCCACGCCCTGTGTGTTTACTGTCTCCCCCTGATGACGTCATAATGTGGACAGGTGCTGGCTGGCAATGAAAACAACTACCTGGCCGTGAAGAGGCACCTGGTGCCGCCGATTTTCGCCACCAAAGTGCGTGTGCTGCCCTACAGCATCTACGCTCGCACCGTCTGCATTCGGGCCGAGATCCACGGCTGCAACAAAACAGGTGAGGGGCCGTGCTAGGTTACGCCTTTTTACCTTCGATTTTGAAATCCGTCTGCTCAGCTTTCTTCATAGTTCGTGTATATGCCTATAGCATTATTTGAGAACAATGATTTTGATGAGAAAAAAATGGCCCGTGCGTTGGCGATCTATTCTGGTGCCAGTGGGGGAAGGGGGAGGAGTTGGTCGTATATCAGCTGTTGTCCCAGCCGTCTGAAAAGGAGCCATCAGCTGCAGTGACGGCAGCAGAGGTCGGCGGCTGGACCATTTGACTCGCCCTGTCCGGCCTCGGAGATTTATTGTGGTGGTAAATTAGCTCAGATGGCTTAACCAGATGATTGCTGGTGAACCGGCTCGTCTGTGTACGATGAACCGGTGTCGGCATGACGGCAGACAAAAAAGACCTTGCTGATGAATGCATCGCGCATTGTAATGCGGTTATACCGTGTGCTTTACAAAAGGTCATTACTTTGTTCAAGGAGACTGCAATGTTTGTAATAGTTCGTCACGAGGTGTATGGGTAGTTTTTTTTTTCTAAGGCTCAAGGCTGCTGCTCGACAATTGGCTCATCATTAACAATACATCTATGGTTACGCTTGGATACACTAAACTGTTGAGAAATTCATGTAGTTATACCCAAAGGCAAAAACATTCCAATCCATTGTAGCATCGCTGCTGCTGTCTGACACGAGAGGCGTATTGTTTTTGTGCTCTGCTCGCTGCGGGGTACCGCCTCTCACCGGCGCGTGACACACGGCGTGACACACTGACACTGGACACAGCCCGCGACACGACGCCATGTCAGGTGACAATGACCGATCGAGGAGTGGCATGACCCGTGTTTCCGCCTCTCACTGGGGTTCCTGGCTAGAGCGGTGAGGCTTGTGGTCCCCAGAACTATCGGAATCTTCTCTTTGTATAAGGATTGGTGCAGGTCCATCGTTTGAACCAGCTGCAGCATTGCCACTTGTTGTTCTATATGCGCTAATGCAAAAATTCGTATTGAACATCACCGGCACTCCACAAACAGTGGCTCCACAAACAGTGGCACACACTCCACAAATAGTGGCTTTTCCGCGCCGTAAGTCAAGATATAAAACAGTCAATTGAAAAGATGTCGAGTCCAAAAGATGTCCATTGGCCTGACGAGGCATAGAGTGATGTCGTGGTCATGCCTGCTTGGTTAGAGGTATCAAATTATTATTCCAAAAGTAAACCGTACCAGCAAAAAGCTCGACCCTATGGTGCTATTGTGTTTTAGCGGATGCCTCATGCAACATCATTATCGGGTATTGGCTTTCAAGTGAACGAGCACCCCTATATGCTGCTCACCCGGACACATTGAAACATAAGCCGTGCACGAAAATCACTGGTATACGTTTGTGAACAATGTAATTGTTTGCTTTTAATTCAGGCAGCCCTCCGCTGGCTTAGGCTACACGTTTCAGGTCGTGATATGAGACAACAACAATGCCAAATCCTGTGTGCCAGCATGCACCCCGCAAACAATGCGACAATGCTCGCATAGACCCAATTAACGAAAGGCGACCGGCCTCTTGCACCGGTTGTTCCTGCACTTTGACAATGCAAGTCGTGTTTTGTTACCCACTCGAGCATACATAATTGAACTTTGTGCCGTATATTTGCCGGACAAAGTATAAGTGATCTGACAAAGACCTTCATTTTCGTGAGTGGCGTCATGCAATTTCTGGATCGTTATTCAAATCAAACTATCGTTAATGTCCTTTTCGTGCAACACTGGCGTGTCCTTGTCCAAGACCAGACTGGGTGAATGTCGACACTCCCCAGTTATCTTGAGGCTAATGTCATGTCCATGTCCATTTCCATGAGCCTTACGTAGACGCTGGATTATGTAATAAGTGTTATTTGGATGGGCTGAATGGTCCGAGCCATGCCATTTGTTCGGCTGATCGGGCATAAAATGTGCTCTAGTCCCATCACATGGCCATTTAGTGGCAGTTTTGCTAATATCACCCGGCTCAGAGGGCTGTTTGGTGATACCATGCCATCACATGACGGCACTGTAATTGCAACTGTGTATTGTAAACATAATTATCAGGTGAGATGAACTTGATCTGCGGTATTGATTAAGTTCTAACAACATCGGTAGGCAACTCGTGCATTAGCATTGTCATTGAATACGGAAAATACCGAATAGGGATACTGGCTGACAGCCAACCAAATCGTTGTTTCAAGCAGAGGAATATGATATGAAGAACGTTGGACGTCTTTCGGTGATGGTAAACACAATTTCCACCCAACTTGCCGAAAAATAGCATCGTATAACGGTGTTGGGATTTAAATAAGCATAACTCCCGATGTTGATGTTACATGCATCTAATGTAACCATAGACGGAAATGTTTTGGTATTCCAGTTTGTTTATCTTGATATTTCTCAATTGCGGATGAACTCGTGACCAAGTAGTTATAAAAAATGGTGACCGTGTTGCGGTGCTGTTATACATTTGCCGACGTCCGTACCAGCACCTCCGCGTCCCTGAGCCGTCACCGTGTGGCTGACGGTGTGTCCTCTCTCTCCCCAGACGGCCTGGTGTCGTACTCGGCACCGCAGGGTCAGAGCCGTTGGCCCGGCGTCGAGCTGAAGGACCAGACGTACGACGGACTGCACAGCCAGGGTCAGCTGTACGGCGGTACCGGACAGCTCAACGACGGGACCTACGGCACCGACAACTTCCGACAGAACCTGGGACACGGCAGGGGTGAGTAACACTGTCAGATCATAGGAGGCAGAGGGACGCGGTGCGTTTGGCTGCATGCACATAATTGAGTCCAGCAAGAGCACTCGAGGTGGTCGAGCGGCTCCGAGACTGCCCAGAGAGGGTGAAAAAGTGGGTTGCCGCCAGACTAGGTCACGTGAGACCTTGCTCGGAGAACGTGGTTTTCAGATGGCAAACATCTCTGCAACCTGTCTGCTCAGAGATGTCCCACGATTTACCACCCACGGCGCCATTCAACGCGGAAGCTTGCATAATCTGCCTAGGCTGTCCGTTAAGCTGGTAAAATCTCCTTTTATCCCTCGCAGAAATCCTGTCAGCATTTCCCGGCTCGTGCGCAAACACGTCAGTGTTCCCCCGGATTCTCTGCGTCCCCGGGCTTGCAGCTCGCCAGCCGTAATTGTTTACGCCTCACCGATCCAACCAAGGCCAATGGTGTGCGAGTGAACGCTGTCGACGACGAAAACAAACATGACACTACAGCGACGTCGTGTTTGTAAACATTTATCACGACCCGTTTTTACCAAATTATTTATCGACGGTGTGTATACGCTTTCGCAAAATCAGCACAACTATGGCTAACTGTACGGCTTGCTGGACTATTCTTACTGTGTGTGCGTACCGGACACCATAAACGAGTCATAAAGAACATAGTTCCATTTTCGGTACGGCACTATTCCATGCATTGTTATTCCATGCGATGACGGATATCGGTCAAGTCACTCGCACTATCCCATCAGCTACTTTCCACATGCATAATATATATGTTGCAGGCACTTTAGAAAATCAGTCATTTTGTAAAATGCCTAGGCATTTTACAAAAAGACGGCTGTTTGAAAAATGACTGAACGCAACCAGGCTTTTTTCAAAATGGCTAGCCATTTTACAAAATGACTAGGCATTTTGCAAAATGCCTGACCAGCATGGAACGTAGATCCCACTACAGATACTATGGCCAACAGTTTTTGGACGTCTTCCTATACCCTATAGGTACGTGTTCAGACTGTAGCTGATCGATTTGAAGCTCTGTGATGACGACAATGCTAAGTAACGACCAGGTTGAGTTGCAGACTCGGCTGTAGCATAAAGCATTGTTTAGTTAACGCTGTAAAAACTCCCAAGTACCTACATCAAAGCCGTTCATGTTCTGCCTGAAACTAGACCTAACAAAACCAGCCGGAGACCGGCCCTACCGGAGCCGGGACCGGCGCATCTAAAAATTATCGCAATAAAGTGGGGTCTCAAGGGGTTTGACGTCCATATTAGTCAATAGGCAGGCCCGGTTGATGTACAATTACATGTGAACGAATGAGTGTAGTCTTTGTTTGATTGTGAATCCTCGCGACCTCTAATAGTTTTACAGATACAGGCCGCGGCATAGGGCCAGTCGTTTGTTGACGCTCCAGATCGATCATTTAAAATCCAGCAGCGTCGCTGACGTGGGGGTTGAAAATGTCGCGGGCCTGCACTTCTCAAAATATAGGTAGGTATGGACTTCCCACTGCTGGACTCCTCTGGTCATAATGCTGGACTCCTCGGTCCACCTACACGCTACCAAAACATATATAATTAGGTTCTCGTATCTACAACACGCTGCTCAGTCATTTTGTAAAATGGCTAGGTATTTTGTAAAATGCCTAGGCATTTTGCAAAATGACTGGAGAGTCAGTCATTTTGTAAAATGCCTAGGCTTTTTGCAAATAGCCTGGAAAATCAGGCATTTTGAAAAATGCCTAGGCATTTTACAAAATGACTGATTTTCTAAAGTGCCTGCAACATATACAAATGGCCCCTTGCGGCCATTGTTATGCGGGACTATTACAGTGTTAGGGCCTTTCCCTACGGTATGCACGCCGCCCCTCCACTTTTGAGGCCGGCCTAATAATTTCATATACTCCCATGCCCCATATGTGTCATGCCATGTCATTGGCGCACAAGTGCCCAGCGGTGGGCTATCGACCGTGACAGCTCCATCGTACGTTTGCTGGCGGGCCTGACAGTGGGCACTGCGGTAAATCCTCCCACCTGGTTGCTTTTCCTCGCTGCCTCTGACACAGACGCAGGACGCTGCAGTAAAGCAGCCCAACACACACCGTGTCGTTTTGGCCGAGGGCTGTTCGGCGCGACGGTAAACGTGTACGGTAGTGTCGGTCTGTCCAGTCGGGATTTCTGCGACCCGGGGGGCGATGCGCAGCGGTGGGTGGCGGCCGGTCGTTATTGCGGGGGGAGGGGGTGTCGAGGAGGGTGGAGGGTGTCGAGGAGCGGCCTCTGTATGCCCGAGGAGGCGCCGCGGCACTCGCGCCTCGCGGTGTCTGCGTAATCGAGTGCGTCGCTCTGATTGGATGCCGGCCCCGATACGCCTCGGACGATATTGGCACCGACGACACAATCAGCTGACCGGGGAGGCGGTGACCCCCCCTCCCCCCCCCACACACACACCCGTGCACCCCCGCGGCAAACGCCCCAGACCGCGGACAATTATGACTGATGGCCAATTACGGATGGATGACAGAGGCGTTTGTCCGACCTGAAGGAATGGGGACAGCCGTCGTACACTGGCCGCAAATAGAGGAGACTGTGGACAGTCTGCATGTGACTGGCGTCGTTAAGTGTGATGTTGTGTGGTCCAACTTTGAAACAGGAATTATTCAGCAATATCTTATGTCGCTTGGTTTATAACTGTATGATATTCTGTGATTTCCTTGTTATTTTGGGTAAGTAGCAAGTTCGGGAGCTCTTTCAACTCCTTACGGAAATAATCCTATTGCCTTGTCTACTTAACCTCTCTGTACAACTTCTCCAGATATCCGCTTAGATATTCACCGAAAGCGCAGGCGTATTTGCAACCGAAAGCAAATCTCTCTCGTAACTCTTGGCTGATTCCCCTTTTTAACCTTCTCGCCGTTACCGCAGAATGCGGGGGCTTATACCGATGAGCACCGCGAGACGGTCGTGCCCAACAGGACCTGCGACGCTAGCGCTCAAACGCTGGTGACCCCCCCCCCCCGCCCCTGCCGTGTTCCCGTTCCGCCTGGACACGCCCCCGCCCAGGGCACGTGACACAAGCTCGACTTTGAGTGTCGGAGCCAGACAGGAAACAAGCGGCTGCAGCGAGCCTTGGCTCAGCCTCCAGGGGTGATGGTTTATGGACGAGAGCGCGGGGCGTAGGGCGGTGATGACCAAAGTTGGAGACACAAGCTGCGAATATTTTGTGAGGAAAGGTGATAAATGGGCTTGGTAAAACAACTGTGACCTGATGTTTCTTTAATAGTTTTTTTCAGTACTGAATCTTTATTGGAGCCTGCAATGCGTGAAAAGCCACTTCTGAAAAGCCAGCACTTATCAGTCCCTTTCCGTTCTAATATACTTTCTATCCCATTATACCGCTGGCCGACAGTCGCAGGAGGAATTTCAGTAAGACGTTCCACCTTGCGAAGAAATGACTCTCAGCAGACCGTTCATTCTGGATACAGGCCCGTGCACAGTAGAGTACCGCTTAATTGGTATACCTAACGCGTACCAGCGGAGCTAGCACACTATCGTTCTTGAATCGACGTGCTAAATCGGTCTATCGCCATCCGCATCGAGACCGGCTGCGATATAGCACCGGCCGTCACCATCACCAACGCTTACCTGCGCCGGAGCGCCAGCCAGCTGCATGTTTATCGCCTCGCCAGCTAATTTACACAGAGCTGTTTGTAACGGTTCCGGCGAACGTCACAAGCAGAAGGATTTAATTTCAATTTGCGTCGGAAAGGCTCCTACACGGAAAAAAATATTTACTCCCCTACGTGGGTTTCTGACGTCCCAAATACAGTACCCATATTAGAGTAGATATCCGCCCTATTTTGGAGTTCTATCCATAACTCCCTAAAACTGTCAAAAGGCGATTCATTACTCTCTTGGTGTTTTGAAACTCCCTTGTAAAACGCAATTGAAACTCCCTTTTAGGGAGTGAAAAATAATATGGAGTAGTGGAACCTAAGAGGAGTAATAAAACTCCTTATCAACTACTCCTTATTCCGGAGTTATGATCGTAAAAGGGAGTTTCACTACTCCTGTTCTGCAAGTGAAACTCCTTTAGATTTGTCTGTGGAGTAATGTCACACCGAAAACGAGACAAGCTAAGTGGTTCCAAAACTCCCAAAAAGGTACTCATCCCAAATACAGTACTTATATTAGAGTAGATAAAGTTAACATTCTGGAGTTTTCCAAAAAAGGTGTGATGTCACCCCAAATATACGGGTTGAGTCACTCCTAATTTTGGGCAGGACGCACATTGCACAAGCCCCAACTGACATAATCAGAGCATTTCCAGCTGGAATTTTAACAAGTATGGATCATTTATAACGTTATATCATTGCAAAAAAAAGTTACTATGATGCTATGACGTGACGTGTGTTGTGAGGCTGAAATAAGAACCAGTCTCTTCCTATTTTTTTCGCGCATTTCGGAAACAGAGTTTAGCTATAGTGTAATAAATAACCAGCAGACGAATAAAAATCTCGAGCATATCCAACAAAAACACTGGATTATAAACAACATTTCTTCTGTATTCTCGTCAACCAAATCATGCATGTAACAGCAGATTTATGTAGCACAAGAGGGCCAGGAGCCACAAGGATTTGCCACTGGGTTTACAGAAAATCTGCAGCAGCATCCAGTATCATCCAGTATAGCAGCGTCCAGAAAGTACAGCAATGGTGAACGAAGTATGGCTATCATAGATGTTAACCCTCGCCCTGGCAGGGGGGGGGGGGTCGATGCGACCCCACCCCCCTAAGGTTTTTTCAAAGATAGCGTAAAAACGGCGGTGCGCAGCGCCGCCAAATTTGGCACTGCCTATGGGGCAACCTTTTAACATATGACCTGAAAATTTCAGGTCCGGGTGACCTTGGGTCAGGTCACCAGGTCAGAACAACCGGTACAAGGTCATGGTCAAATTTCAATTTGTTTATGCACCTGTCCAACTCACAGTTTTGGAC